CGCTATGGGTCGGAACTGACTCAATGGCATTTAACAACATAGAATGTGTGGCTCCATGAACAACTGCTTCCTCTGCCAGGAGGAACTGGATGTTCAAAGCTACCATTATCAAATGTTTTGATCATATTCCACAGAAGAATGGAAAAGGGGGGAAATGTAGAACAGACACTTCAAATTCTCATGTTCTCTAGACTTTCTGGATCTATGTAGGGTGGGAAAACCGCTAAAACTATTGACCTGAAAAAAATCTTTAAACCTTAACAAAATATACAACTGAAGTCTTCTTAAAACCAAACAATTTAGCTTAAATAATACAAAAGATCTGCCTTAATTAAATACTGCGTTAGTTGCTTTAAGAAATACAAATGGATGGTTTTAACAAACAGAAATTTATTTCCTCACAGTTTAGGAGGCTAGAAGCCTGATTTTAGAACTGTGTTCTAAGGAGGCTTCCTGATTTCTTGGAGATTTCTATGCGTTTTGGCTCTATCTTACCCAATCTCTGGATCACTGATTTAATTTCTTTTAAATTCAAAAGAAATCAACCCAAGACACATCCTAAGCTGATCCTATGTCTTATTAACATTTCAAACACAACCTATGCCAGAATGGAAATACAAGTTAGGATTTAAACACAAAACTTCCATTTTTCCATTAACTTTTTTAAGTCCAATGTATATTTTTAAGGAGCACTGGTAGCTTAGTGGTTACAAATCAGGCTGCTAACCTCAAGGTCCACAGTACGAAACTACAAGACTTTCTGTGGGAGAAAGATGAGGCTTTCTGCTCCCGTAAAGACTTACAGCCTCGGACACCCTGTGCAGAGTCACTATGAGTCGGAACTGACTCTATGGTACTTAATAACAATGTATATTCTTGAGAGATACAATTTAATCCATAATAAGCATTATATTATTTTAAGAACTATCTATGTGGATTCAAATGAACAACAGCAAATCAGAAGATTAGACCTAAGGGGCATGAGTTTATATAAATGAAGGAAGAAACTCAGAAAAAGAAAGAATGGTTGCACAAAGAATGTAATCAATATGACTAAATTATACACTTGTTGTTGTTAAGTGCCGTTGAGTCGGTTCCGACCCATAGCGAGCCTGTACAGGGTTTCTGAGGGTGTAAATCTTTACGGGAGTAGAAAGCCTCATCTTTCTCCTGCGGAGCAGCTGGTAGTTTCGAACCACTGACCTTAAGGTTTGCAGCCCGATTCGTAACCACTACGCTACCAGAGCTCCTTAAATTACATGCTACCCATGTAAAATTAATCACTATGAATTTTAAATTCATAGCACATTTCAACTGGAACCAACTACATTTCAGGCAACATGTGACTTGTGGACAGCACAGTTCCAAACAGTTCAGTATGACTGGTGCATAGAATGTGAAAGGACTATACAGCAGGAGAAAAGTAATATCACACACCAGATCTCATATTATTAAGATTTCTGATAAGAAAAGTACCTTTTACAATAAAAAAAAGTAAGAAGGGTAGTAATAAAATTTGAAATCTGGGTGGTAATAAAATATTTGGAAATGGATACTGTTGAGTTTTATAATAAGGTAAATACAATTAATGTCACTGAACTATACATGTCAATACTGAAATGTTTTGTGACATCGATTTCATTACAGAAAACATTTTTTTAAATTAATAATTTGTTTGGTTCAGATCCAAGAGACCCTATGTACAACAGAATTAAACACTTATAGACTTCTTAGAAGAGCATTAGCTACACTTCAGAGCTGCCTCCTCCTTCAGACCATGATGATGTAAATAAAACAAAATTTTCAGGATGCTCATTTACTGATGAGTACAAAACTCAAAATGAGAAGAAACAGCTGCAAAACATTAATAATCGGAATATAGTAAGTACTAAGTATTAATCTGGAGTCCTAGTGTGGTGCTGTGGGTTCATGCGCTGGACTGCAAATTCATTTGAATCACAAGGTCGGTGGTCGAAGCTCACCAATCACTCCTTGGAAACCCTATACAGGGTTACTATGGGTCGTAATCGACTCTACAGCACTTAACAACAGGTATTAATCGAGGTAAATTTTCATTTTGAAAATTTTCAAAAATGAAATTGAACTGAGAAAAACTGATGTCCTAAGCATTAGTGAGGTGAAATGGACTGGTATTGACAATTTTGAATCTGACAACCATGTGGCTTACTATGCCAGAAAACAACAAATTCAAAAACAATGTTCTACCATACATCATCAAAAAGAGCATTTCAAGGTCTAACGTGTAGTACAACATTGTCTGTGATAGGATAATATCCATACACCTACAAGGAAGACCTTTTAATAACCCAATTATTCAAATTTATGCACCAGCCACCAAAGTCAGTGATGATGAAATTGAAGAATTCTAACAATTTCTTCAGTTTGAAATTGATCAGGCACTTAAGATGTACTAATAATTACTGAAGAAAGGATCAGTAGTTGGAAAAGATGGCTTTGGTGATAGAACTGATGCTGGGGATAACATGACAGAATTTTGCAAGACCAACAACTTACTCATTGCAAATAATTTTTTAAACATAAAAGCAATTATATACATGGACCTGTACCAGATGGAACAAACAGGAATTAAATAGGCTATTTCTGTAAGAAGAAACAGTGTAAAAGCTTTGCATCATCAGCAAAAATAAGGCCAGGGGCTGACTGTGGACTAGACCATCAATTGCTCATATGCAAGTTCAGGCCAAAGCAAAATGAAAACAAGTCCACAAAAGCCAAAGTATAACCCAGAGTATATCCCATGTGAATTTAAAGACCATCTCAAAAACAGAAGCAATGCATTAGACACTAATGAATAAAGACCAGAAGAGTTGTGGATAACATCAAGAACATCATGCAGGAACAAAGCAAAAGGTCATAAAGATAAGAAAGGAGGAAAAGACCAAAATGGATGTCAGAAGAGAGCACTCCAATGTAGACACTCTAAAGTGAATAGAAGAAAAGTAAGAGTTCAACAAAAGACTTCAAAGGGTAGCTTGAGAAGACAAAGTCAAATATTATGACGAAATTTGCAAAGACTTGTTAAAAAGTATAAAGAAAAAGAAAAACATCCTCAACATTTTTAAAGATGAAATGAAGAAAAAAATCAAGCCTTGACTTGCAATATTAAAGGATTCTTTGGGGGAAACAGAGTCCTGATGTGGTGCTATACAATAAGCATATTGGACTACTAACCACAAGATTTGTGGTTAAAATATACCAGTTGCTCTTCAGAAACCCTATACAAACAGGTGACTAGCAGTGAGAACTGACTCGACAACTCTTAACAACAACATGGGCAAAATAATGAATGAGATGAAAGCATCAAAAGATAGAAGGGACAGAGTCACCACATCAAAAGGAAACGGTCCATATACAACCATTTCAAGAGATTACATGACCAAGAGATGATGGTACTGAAGAAGTCCAAAATACACTGGTGAAAAACAAGGCTCCAAGAACTGACAGAATACAAACTGCCATCCTTCAACAAACTGATGCAGTACTGGAGGTACTCATTTATGTAAGCCAAGAAATTTGGAAAACAGATACCTGACCAACCGAATAGAAGGGATCCACATTCCAAAGAAAGGGGACCCAACAGAAAATGGAAATCACCCAACAATATCATTAATATCATATTGTAAAATTTTGTTTATGGTAATTAAAAAGTGGACAAAATTATAAGCCAGACTCAGAAGAGGACATGGAATGAGGAATATTATTGCTGATGTCAGATGGATCTTGGCTGACAGCAAGACAATACCAGAAAGATGTTTGCTTGCGCTTTTTTGACTATGCAAAGGCTTTCTACTGTTTGGTTCATGACAAGCTATGAATAACATTGCGAAGAATGGGTATTCCAGAACTCTTCATTGTGTTTATGAAGAGCCTACAGACCAAGAGACAGTCATTCAATTAGAACAAGGAGATACTAAACGGTTTAAAATCATGAAAGGTGTGCGCTACGGTTATATTCTTTCACTCTATTCAATCTGTACACTTAGCAAGTAACCCGAGAAGCTGGATTATATGAAGAACATGGCAAAAGGAATAGATGAAGACTCATTAGCAACCTGCAATAAGCAGATGATACAACCTTGCTTGCTGAAAGTGTAGAGGACTTAAAATACTGATGAAAATCAAAGACTACAGTCTTCAGTATGGATTGCAACTAAATCTACAGAAAATGAAAATCCTCATAAATGGGTCATTAAGTAGTATGATAAATGAGGAAAAGACTAAAGTTGTCAAACTTCATGACTCACGGAAGCAGCAGTCATGATGATGACGTATTACATATACAAATCTGCTACACAAGTTTTCAAGAGCAGTTAACAGTTTGAGGCCTAAGGTATGCATTTTCTGAGCCAAGCTATAGATTTTCAATTGCCTCATATGTAAATGAAAAGTACACAATGACTAAGGAAGGATGTCAAAGAATTCATGGATTTAAATTAAGGTACTGGAGAAGACTATTAAAAGCACAGTGGACTGCCAGGAGGAAAAACAAATCTGTGTTGGAATACTTACAGCCAGAATGATCCTTAGAGACTAGAACTACAGATTTCAACTCTCATATTTCCGACATGTTATAAGGGGGAACAGTCCTTGGACACCATGCTTGGAGGGTCAGCAAAAAAGGATGAAGACTCTCAATGAGACGGACTGACACAGTGGCAGCAGCAATGAGCTGATATATAACAATCATTGTGAGGCTGGCACAGAACCCTAGTGTTTCATTATGTTTATATAGGGTCACTATGAGTAAGAATTGATTTGCCAGCACCTAACAACTAACAACAACAAGAACAGTAGGAGAGACAAGCTAGCACATAATATATTAAGGAAAAGGAGAGTTAATGAGGATACATTTTTAAATGATGGATTGATATAATGAATCCATTTATTAATAGTCATTAATAAATAGTCAAATACTCAATTCCTTTCATTTTCATTTTTTCTCAAAAAGCAGAACTTACTCTCAGGTGTCGATTTTCTTCTGACAGTTTCATCATTTCTCCCTGAAGTCTTTTACACTCTTCCATTAGTTTTCTTGTTTCAGTGTCATTGAGTGAAACACTATGCGGTTTTGGCATGGGTCCATCTTGTTTAGATGCATTCAGTGGAGCAGCTTTGCTAGGTTCCATATCATTCTGTATTATAAAGATATTGGAATGCTTACACAAATAAAATTTAAAATTCCATATCCTGCTAGTCCTAAAGAAATGATTTCAATGAAACACAGTTTTCAATTACATTTATAAAAACTTAAAAATAAAAAAATAGAACCAAACACATGGCCATCTGTGAATTATTTTTTAAAAAGCCTAAATCAATATAGGAGTCCTGGTGTTGCGCTGTGGGTTAATGCGCCAGACTGCAAAGCCGTTTGAACTGCAAGGTCGGTGGTTCAAGCTCACCAGATGCTCCTCGGAAATACTCTACAGGGTATCTATGGGTTAGAACCGACTTGATAGCACTTCACAACAACAACAAAAATCAATAAAAGTAGTTAGGATAGGTAAGATAAGCAGCCTACCCTCCTTAACTCCCATAACCCTCTGCACTTATTTCTACCATAACTTTTATCATATATTCTAATAATTTATTTTTTAATTTCTCTACTAAATAGGCTGGGAGAGAGCAAGAAATATTTCTTATAATTCTTTGTCATTTACCACTAACCGAGTACATTGATCAACTGTAGTAATTCAATAAAAGATTAATCACTGAACCCAATCAAAATCCAAATATGAAGATCATTTTTTGTGCTGATTCTCAAGTTCCAGAATTGGTAAAATGAAATTAGGTATTATTTAAGGACAAACCTTTAAAAGAAAACCTAACTTCTAATGAGAAAAAAATAACTGATGGATATATACACTGATGGAGAAAATGAATAAAAACATAAATAATGGCAAAGGAGAAAAGTGAAGAAAACTGTGATCTCCCACTTGAAATAAAAATGAGTCCGTAAAATTATTCTTTATTCTGCTATCATTTACACCATCACAACCCGTAACAGTATTAGTGCTGTCATTGAAATTTCACAGTACTGCTGCTGCTGTTAAGTGCTGTCCAGTCAGTTCTGACTCTGTATGGGGTTTCTGGTGGGTTTGAACTGCCAACCTTGTGGTTCCCAGTACAGTGCTGATCCTACAGCACCACACCAGGGGTCCACAGTACTCATTAATAGGATTTAATTACAAACTGCACACCTATATCATTTCAGCTGCCAAATTTATATGAAATGTAAATAAAATGTTCAAGGAACAAGACTAGTATGTCTTATGAAGGGAATGTGATTTGATCAGTCTGCAAAAAAATCCATGTAAAAAAACACTCAGAAAGTTTTTTGTTGTGGTGGTAAGGTGCCATCGAGTAGGTACAGAATCATAGCAACCCTATGTAAAACAGAAGGAAATACTGCCCGGTCCTCAGCCAACCTCAAAATTGTTGTCATGCCTAAGCCCACTGATGCTGCCACTTTGCCAATCCATCTCACTGGGTGTCTTCCTCTTTTTCTCTGATCCCACACCTTACCAAACATGATATCCTTCTTCAGCGACTGGTCCCTCCTGACAACATGTCCAAAGTATGAGAGACTAAGTCTGGCCACACTACCCTCCCAGGAGCACTCTGGCTACACTTCTTCCAACACAGATCTGTTGGTTCTTTTGGCAGCCCACAACACCTTCAATATTCTCCCCCAATACCATAACTCAAAAGCATCACTTCTTCTACAGTGTTCCTTATTCACTGTCCAGCTTTCACATACATATGAGGTTACTGAAATGTGTCGGGTGCACCTTAGTCCGCAAGCTGACATCTTTGATCTTCAACACTTTTAAGAAGGTCTTGTGCAGCAGATTTGCCTAATGCAATATGTCATTTTGTTTCTTGATTGCTGCTTCCATGAGAGTTGATAGTTTATCCAAGAATGAAGTCCTTGAAAACTACAATCTTTTCTTCATTGAGAAGAATGTTGTTTATTGGTCCAGTGGTGAGGATTTTTGTTTTCTTTACATTGAGATGTAATCCATACCGAAGGCTGTGTTCTTTGATCTTCATCAGTAAATATTTTAAGTCCTCTTCACTTTCAGCAAGCAAGGTTGTATCATCTGCATATCGCACATTGTTAATGAGTCTTCCTCCAATCCTGAAGCCATGTTTTTCTTCATATAACCCAGCTTCTCGGATTATTCAGCATACAGGTTGAATAAGTATGGTGAAAGAATACAACCTTGTCACACCTTTCTTAATTTGAAACCATTCAGTGTTCCTATGTTCTGTTCGAACAAATGCCTCTTGGTTCAGGTACAGGTTCCTCATGAGCATAATAAAGTGTTCAGGAATACTCATACTTCGCAATGTTGTCCACAGCTTGTCATGATCCATACATCGAAAACCTTTGCGTAGTCAATAAAGCACAGGTAAACATCTTTCTGATATTCTGTTTCAGCCAAGATCCATCAAACATCAGCAATGATATCCCTTGTTCCACGGCCTCTTCTGAATCCCGCTTGAACCTCTGGAAGTACTCTGTCAATGTATGTTTGCAGCTGTTTCTGTATTACCTTTAGCAAAGCTTTACTCGCATGGGTTATCAACGATATTGTCCGGTGATTTTCACATTCCACTGGGTCAACTCTCTTTGGAATGGACACCAATATGGATCTCTTCCAATTAAAGCCAGATAGTTGTCTTCCAAATTTCTTGGCAGAGATGAGTGAGTGCCTCCTGTGTTGCCTCACTTTCTTGAAAGATTTCAGTTTTTACTACATCAATTCCTGGAACTTTGTTCTTTGCCAATTCCCTCAATGCACCTTGGACTTCTTCCTTCAGTATCACTGGCTCTTGATCATATACTACTTCTTGAAACAGTTGAACATCAACCATTTCCTTTTGGTACAGTGATTCTGTGTATTCCATCCTTCTTCTTTTGATGCTCTCTGCATCATTCAATAATTTGCCCAGAGAATCCTTCAATAGTGAAAAGTAGAGGCTTGAATTTTTAACGTAGTGGTTACAAATCAGGCTGCTAACTTCAGGGTCAGCAGTTCAAAACTACCAGTTGTTCTGCAGGAGAAAGATGAGGCTTTCTGCCCCCGTAAAGATTTACAGCCTCAGAAACCCCGTATAGGGTCGCTCACTATGAGTAGGAACCAACTCCATGACACATAACCACCACTCACAAGGTTTAAACACACAAAAATGTGTACATTTGATCTGTCTACAATTAAATTCTTACATTTTTCTTCAGAAGCTTCATGGCTAGGAAGGCTTATTCCAATTTCCTTCTTTGGATTTCACTCTTGCTAGCTTTTTGTCATTTATTTTAATATATCCTTGCCCCCATCAATCCCACTTTTATCTATTATCAAAAATCTGTTTCTGTTAGGTTTTGCTCTCTATTTCTATTCTTTTAATAGCAATTAGAAATAATTTCAAATGATTTTTCAAGTGTGTTTACAGTCCACAATTTAAACTACCATTTGTGAAAACGATGGTGGTACTTTGCCTTCCTCTCCAACGAACACAACAGTTGTCAATATGGCAACTGAGGAGATTATAGGTTTGGGTTAAAAACTGGGGGAAAAATCTTACTCATATTAGAAAGTTGCCTAAGAAAGTTCTTCATAACTGGTGTTTTATTTATTTATTTATTTATTTATTTATTTATTTATTTATTTATTTATTTATTTTAATTCTAGAAAACTTAGAATTATGAGGGGAGATGAGAGAACATTACCTCCCTTGTCTCATCATCCTGACAGAAGTATGGTCGTGTTATTTTTTATATACATATTTTACATAACTAAGTCACATGCATTACACTTTCATCTTGCTTTATTCCTTACATGCACATCTTTTAATTATCGTTTTAAATGACACAGTATCATTAAAAATCTTTTACCTTAATACGGTAACTTAAACATTTCATTCTTGTTAAATAGACACTTGAAGTAACATCCAACTCTGGGATTTTAAATAAGCATGTCAATAATTATCTTCTTATAGTAGTAGAATAAGAATTTTTCTTTTTTATTGAAATTTTTCTTAATGTTTTATGTCACTAACAATAAAGGAGGAAGAAATGACATAACCAACTGGGTGGAGTACCAGCATAATACTAGAATGTGAAGATGGTGGTGAGCTTTCACTTCAAAAGTGAGCCAATTAAAGCCATGAAGTAAGTTACACCAGTAAGATTGTATTACATACTGTCTAGGCCCCCTACAATCCAGTCAACACACTGGGCAGATGCAAAGAACTCTTATGTATTTATTCAAATTTGAAAGAATGAGCATATACAGCCTAATTTAAGGAGTCCAAAAGGGAGAGAGAGAGAGGGAATGCTGAGTCATTCATATAGTAACAATCTCAAGAGCCTAATGGGCAACACTTAGGCAGGTGTAATTTTAAGTATATGTTCCATTAAGCGAGGTTTGGTGCCAAGAAAACAGCTTGTTCCTTGAGAGTTGCTTCAGACTGATCTAGAAAGAGGAAACTGGAGAACCTTGAAGCAAGCAAACTAAAGGGATTCAACATGTTGTGACTCATAGTAAACTGATGAATAAGTAATATACATTAACATATTTAACACTGTAACTTAGAATAAGCTGAAAGTTAAAGCCAGTGGTATCAATAAAGATGAATATAGCATATCTTGGACATTTTCCACCTTATATTATTTAGTCTATCTGCTGTAACCCCTCTCTGAGTTTAAATTACTTGTTTATTCTTTTTCAACAACCAACAGAATTTTAATTCCAATATTCCTACTAGAGTCATTTATAAAAAGAGGGAGCTAAGGATTATAAATAGAAGGGGAAGGATAAAATACAAGGCAGAGGAGGATTTTTACAGACTTGTGACTTTACGTTGTTGTTGTCGTTAAGTGCCGTCAAGTTGGTTCGAACCCATAGCGACCCTGTATAGGGTTTCCACGGAGCAGCTGGTGAGCTTGAACCTCCAACCTTGTAATTCAAACAGCTTTGCAGTCTGGCGCATTAACCCACAGCGCCACACCAAGACTCATGTGACTTTATGAGTAGGGCTGTGTATTTAAAATAAAGAAACTATTGCCATTGAGTCAATTCCAATAAGCTAAAGCCAAGATCTATTATATTCAATTATGAGGTACCTAGTG